CCCCGGCTCCTCCAGGCAATGTGGGAAATTGCAATGAAAACTGGGGATTTGGGGCTGCATTGCCCTTCCTTACGTTAGCCCTGAGAAACCAGTGCTTCCAACCTTTCTAGCCAAATAAAATGCGTCATTAACACAAGCAAGTAGGGACTCCTCGCCTCCCAGGGCGCGCAGGTTTAACCGCTGGCTCCATGCAAGATGTTTGCCCTGGACAGAGGTGTTCCACCTTGCAAATCCAGCGCACGTGGCAGGAGCGCATTTCCCTGGGGAGGATGCTCATCATCTCTCCCAGCCTGGGTACCATCTACCCCATCCCTTATTGACCCCCATAGAATCATAGAATGGTTTGGGTTGGAAGGGACCTTGAAGACCATCTCCTTCCAACCCCTCTGCCATGGGCAGGGACACCTCCCACCAGCCCAGGTTGCCCAAGGCCACCTCCAGCCTGGCCTTGAACACCTCCAGGGATGGGGCCTCAACAACCTCTCTGGGCAACCTGTGCCAGTGCCTCACCACCCTCACAGGGAAAAACATCTTCCTAATGTTTAATCTAAACCTGCCCTCCTCCAGTTTGAAGCCATTCCCCCTCATCCCATCACTCCATGCCCTTGTCAAGAGTCCCTCCCCAGCTCTCCCGTAGCCCCTTTAGGCACTGGAAGGGGCTCTGAGGTCTCCCCTTTTTGGCCTTCTCTTCTCCAGGCTGAACCCCCCCAACTCTCCCAGCCTCTCCTCCTCTCCTCTTCCATCCTTCCTCTACCCCAGTGCACTGCAGTGAGAGTCAAGCCAGGGGAAGAAAAAAAACCCCAAACTCTCTATGCGATTAAAATGTTACAGAACTGCACAGTCTGGATAACAAAAACTTAAAGATTTGCTTTGATTTCTGTATCTACTCATTTATTTTTGGTTGATAACCTGCACGGTCACTTACTTCCAGTTGGAAAAGGTCTCGGTAGCTTTGGGGACTCTACGCTGGCGTTGACGGGCGCGACCGAACCCCATATCTCTGGCTGATCCAGAGTCGCTGAAAAAAAAAAAAAAATCAAAAATAAATAAATACGCATGCAAGGGCATCGATAAAACTATTTTCTTACAAATACCAAAACACACAGATGAGACGCGCTCATCTGAGGCTTCCGAAGGGGAAACTAAACAGTAGCAGAACCCTCTCATTAATGAAAGACAGGGGGGTTTCTGTAACGTTGGGTAATTACGAGCTTGCTCGATTTTTAAGCAGGACACGCAATTAGTTTGACACTCATGCTGCTTGACAAACAACACAATGCCGTTTATGTTTTTGGAAGCTTATTACATTAAGTGAAACACCGCATTAACTGCAAAAATCATCTGGAATTTTAGGATGCACAGAAAAAAAACCCCAACAGTTATTAAAATGAACAGATCCAGTTATAGTCACAGACATTGTAGGGGAAGAAATGTTCTTCTATATCTTATTTAAACTTTTTGCGCCTTTTATTTTTTTAAGGCTACGTGTAGAGAACTGCACACAAATGTAGTTTTGATGAAAAGAATTAATCAGAGTCATTAATTACAAGGCATAACTCGGGTACAAGTGGCAGCGGCCATTTTCCGATAGCCGAGCGGGGCCAGGAGGAGGAGGAGGAGGAGGAGACCTCTCCAGGAACAAACCGCTCCGGTGGGTGAATGGGGTTTTTCTTTGGGGAGAACAAGCCTTGCAAGAACACTGCGCTTCGGGAAAGCCATTAAAAAGACAAAAAAAAAAAAAAAAGCAAAAAAAAAAAAAGCTTGAGGGGAAGCAAAGTGTCCTTATACTCCTGTCCAGGGGAATGCGGTTTCTGGGGGGAAAAAATGACATTACTGAGATAGCATCTTCACAGGCACGGGGAGCCATAAAGCGTTGCCAGCCGGCTCCCTTCGTATCTGGAACGAAGATATTAAATTAGCGTGATGCCGGGTCGCTGCTGCAGTGTCGGAAGGTAATGACTGCCACTGTTAAACACAGACCGCTTTGCGGGTCCGTGGGCAGAGCCTGGTGAGGAGGCACAGCCACAGCTTCATTTGGAAGTCAATATTTGTAATATTTTTTAGCTGCTCTCTCTCAGGATCTGTCTCAAGACCACATAGAATCATAGAATGGTTTAGGTTGGAAAGGACCTTGAAGATCATCCAGTTCCAACCCCCCTGCCCTGGGCAGGGACACCTCCCACCAGCCCAGGTTGCCCAAGGCCGTGTCCAGCCTGGCCTTGAACACCTCCAGGGATGGGGCCTCAACATAATTAACTAATTGACTTAAACACTTGCCCCCGTTTCTGTATAACCCCCAGCCTCACTCTGCTTTAACACAACTTCACATTCTGCTTCAATTTTGGGGTTTTTTCCCCCCCTCCTTTAAGAGCAGGGCTGGGGGTGGGGGGGTGGTCACCAGGACCCCCCTATTTGCTGGCACAGCTGAGTGCCACCAGCCATCCCCGGGGCACGGCGTGGCCAGGGGTGACCGCCAGGAGATGCCACCCCCATCCCCCGACCCACCATCCAGCTTCTGCTCCTCGAACGCCGACTCCAGCGGGGGCCCAAAGAGCGGTGCCAGCGCGGCAGGGTCCTCCCCGGCTTTCTTGCTGCGGGACGAGACAAGTGTGGAGGAACACCATGAGGTTCAGGTTTGTACTCAAGCCTGGTGTACGAGTACCAATATGTATATTTTCAGGGGGTCTTTATGTTCTAAAGGAACCGGCACCTGGCAAAACATGGTTTCGGGCAGAAAAAAGGGAAAGCAGAGCGGTGGCGCCGGCCGTAGCACAACTGTTCAAACCCGGTGGTGTCCCAGCAGTGCTGAGGCACCAGGGATTGCTTCAGGATTAATCAGAGCTCCTGCCGACTGCATAAAAAAAAGAGCAGTCAAGGTCTGGACCACGCTCGGGTCCAACACACCTAGAGTCAAGCCCTGGTGCTGCACAGGGAACGCTCCTAATGAGATTTAGACTTCACTCCATATCAACCAGTCTTATCTGCTTCCCTAAATCAGTACATACCCAGCACACACTTGCCAGCTCTCCCTGTTGACCGGGCTTAAGGCAGCTTCCAGCAGTGGATCATAGAATGGTTTAGGTTGGAAGGGACCTTGAAGACCACCCAGTTCCACCCCCATGCTCTGGGTAGGGCCACCTCCCACCAGCCCAGGTTGCTCCAAGCCCCGTCCAACCTGGCCTTGAACACCTCCAGGCATGGGGCAGCCACAGCTTCTCAGGGCAACCTGTGCCAGGGGCTCACCACCTCACACAGTCAAGAATTTCTTTCCAATATCTTGTCTGAATCTCCCCTCTTCCAATTTGAAGCCATTCCCCCTCGCGTCCTATCACTCCCCTCCCTGATCCAGAGTCCCTCCCCAGCTCTCCTGGAGCCCCTTTAGGTAGTGGAAGGTCCTCACCGCCCCTGTGGGACAGCAAGAATGGATGCTGTGCATCTGAAACCAGGGGTGCCACTGCCATCAGCACCTCGATTGTGCATGTTTGTGTTCAGCCATGCTCTGGGGGGGTCCATCATCGCCACAGGGGCACCTCCTCTCATTTCTTACTTACTCACGTGGCATCTGAGCAAAGACCCTGTGGACCCAAAGCTCCCTGTGACGCTTGCATCCAGCGGCACGGAGCATTTACTCAGCTTATTTAAACACCAAAACACAAACGTTTGGCTGTCTCGTCAGCCTAAAAAGTTATAAAAGCAATGTTTCTGCAGTGCTGTCTTTGATGAGCCGAGTTCAGGTAGCTCAGCTGGGTGATGGCAATATTTGTGCTGTAAATACCCAGTGAATTTTCTGCGTTACTCTGGGTTTGACCTATCCAGGTATTGTCACGGTTTCGGCTGGGATGGAGTTGACCTTCTCACTGTTTGCTGTGTTTTGGATTTGGGCTGAGAATACAGTTGGCAGTGCGCTACTGGTTTTGTTTGCTGCTGAGCTCTCGAGGCCTTTTCTGCTTCTCACACCGCCCCGCCAGCGATGGGCTGGGCGACACAAGGAGTTGGGAGGGGACACAGCAGGGAGGGCTGTCCCCAACTGACCACAGGGATAGTCCATGGGACATCATGGTCAGGATATAAAGCCGGGGAAGAAGAAGTGGGGACGTTTGGAGTGATGGCGTTTGTCTTCCCAAGTCACCGTGACGCGTGATGGAGTGCAGCTTCCCTGGGGATGGCCAAACACCCGCCTGGCCACGGGGAGCAGTGAGTAAATCTCTTGTTTTGCTTCGCTTGCATGGCTTTTACTCTACTTATTTAACTGTCTTTATCTCAACCCATGAGTTTTCTCCTCACTTTTCTGATTCTCTCCCCCATCCCAACCAGGGGAGGGAGTGAGCGGCTCTGTGGTCCCGGCTGCCGCCTGGGGCTAAACCACAACAGCATACATGAAAAAGCATCAAAATCTGGAGGTGAACACAGATGCTTCCCATTGAGCAATGGTGTAAATGTGCAATTACCCATCAAAATGTTTAAAAAGCACATCAAGGTGATGTACCTGTGTTGGTTAATCATACCGATGGAGTCCGTACTGACCTGGCGGGGTCTGGCGTCGGTGTGGAACGCCGGGGCCGTGCGATCTCCTCACCTGCGAGAATGGTGAGATGGTTAGAGCCATCCCCCCCAAACCCTGAGCATCACCCCCAGCCCACCCGGAGCCTGTGCTGGCAGGGGGGCTCACGCCAGGAACGCCACCAGCACTGCACATGTCCCATCCCACACCTGCTATGGAGACACTGGCAGAAAAAGCTCTGGTTTTCTTAATTCATAGTTTATTTCTGTAGAGAGCTAGACTAGGGAGCTGCGCTGTTTCTATAGGGTTCCCCAAGGATGTCCCATGGGGCTCTTTAATGAAGGACATTTGAGTGCCATCGTTTCTGCCAGGACCATTATAAAGCAAACATAACCCCCTGCCTAAAATACCACTCCCACCCCGCCATAACTACCCCAGAAAATACTTACTGGATAAATTCCTTTTGATCGTCCCCTGGAATTAGAAACACAGGAGGTAAGCGGGATGCACAGGGACACCGGCGCATGGCAATTGTCACCCACGGAGGGACACAGGGTGAGCAAAGCAGCCCAGCAGATCTGGCAGGAGTTGCCTGTCTAGGGTGATATTTACTGTACGCGGCCAAAATATTCCCAGCTGCACGTGTGTGTTGTGAAACCCCATTTGGTCCCAGCATACAGGGAGCAGAAAAACCCTACCGAGAGGGTTTTGAGCCACCTAAAGCCACCACCCGGCAGCGCTGCCTTCGCAGCCATCCTGATGGCCAGTGGCTTATGGGGCTCACTGACACCCTCACCCCACTAGAAACAGCATAAAACCCCAAATCCTCACTTTTGATGGCTGCAAATCAATCCAAGCCAAATAATGTCTTTTTAGCAATCAAAATCCTCGCTGCTGCCGCGCAACACGCACCTGCCCGCGCACAGCAAAAGCCAAGAACCTCCCAGGATTGGGGGACCTGGGGCTGTGTGGCAGAGAGGGAAGCTGGGGGTACCCCAGGACCACAAGCGATGTCCCCAGGGGGATTGCAAGGATGCAGGTTGAGCCGTGGAGGATGCTCATCACCATGGACCATTTTGCATCAACAGGTGGGGGGGGCGGATGACGGACGGACGGACACACGACAAGGTGCCACCATCACCTGGGGGTCATACAACGGGGCAGCTAATGGCACCACATCACCCCGGCGCAGCCTCAGACCCCACCAGCACCCCCAGTCCCGGAGCGGAGGGGCAGAAGCAGCGAAGGTGGGTGCTTACCGGGCTGCGCCGCTGCGGTCAGCGAGAAGGAAGAGAGAAGAGACACCTGGTCAGAGAGCGACAGGTCAGCGCCCCAAGTCCCCCAACGCCCATCGCACCCCAACAGCTCCAGCTGGGCGTCCTCCTCCACCCAGCACAACAACGCCGTGCTCCCACGGGCTGGTGGGGCACCCCAGGCATGGGGCGAGGGGAGAACAGTGGCTGGAGAGACCCCAGAGGGAACCCAAACCCTGTGGAACAGGGGGATTTCCCCATTTTTGGGCTCAGAACAGCCTGACGCCCAGTCCTCCCCAGGGAAGCCATCACCATGGCACACAGAAGCACCGCAGGTGATTGACCACCGTTGGGTTCTCTGCCTTCTCATACCTTTTGATGTGCAATGGCGTACCTAAAACATGCCCAGATAACACCGTGCCCTTACACATCTTGTCCAAAACCACCAGCTCTTTCACCCAAACTACACCCCCCCCAGGCTACGTACGTTCAAAGCAAAGACAGCCTGGCTCTATTTTAAAATGCTCTAAGTTAAATCAAAGGGAGAAGGAGAAATAACAAACGTCATGCCTTCCAAAAAGGATTTGTTATTTGCATTTTACACTCCAGCTCTAAAGACATGCAAAACATGGACCGTGCAAACAAGAGAACAGACAATTGTGTTAAAGAATTATGAGATTAAAAAAAAAAAAAACACACACAACTGTATTTCTTACCGGACTTTTCCTCTAAAAGAATGCAGAAAAATAAAGAAAATGAGAATATAAGATATCTTCTATAAAGGAATAACACAGAAGTTAAAGATTTGTATTATGACCAGCAGCATCAGGTGTGTAACTGTTAACCATATGGCAAAGCAGAGCCATGCGCGCACCCAGCCGGGCTCTCCTTCCTTCAGATGGAAGAGTGGAGAGAGAGAGAGAGAGAGAGAGAGAGAAAACCATATAGAAATAAAAACCTGCATCTGAGCCATGCTACGGAAAGGATTCCCATGCCTTGTCGTTAGCAGGCCCTGCGAGCTAGAGACCGAGGCCATTTCCCAGCCTGTTTCATTTCTTGGAAGGGTCCATATGAGAGGAAAGTCAAAAGCATGATTTTACCCCAAAATGCTTAAATTTAAGGCTATTACTCATCAGCTTTGCCCAGTGATTTTTTTTTTCAGACTGCTACAAAGCCCCCGCTCCTGGGGCTGAGTTTTCACGGGGTGAAGACCGGAGCGGGCAGGAGGAGGGAAGAGGGTGGAAGGTCTGCAGATGCTGGGCTGGTGCTGGTACAGGACGTGGCATCACCTGCACGCTTCTCCTCGAGGAACGGGACCCGAGCTGTTGGGCTCCAGGCAGAGGATGCAGATGACACCAGTTTAGAACAGCATCTCCAGTTTTCTTCTTGGCTTCACGTTAAGGCACCGTATCTTACACCCCAAAGGGATGGCGGGGGCACGTCCAAGAGATGGACATGGCATCTCCCATCCTGCTGCTCTCTCCCAGGAGAGGCTGTGGCACAGAAGGGATGTGGGACTGGAGTAGGTCTTTCCAGCTGGTTTCGGAGAGGAGACAAGCCCAGTGCAAGGGCAGGGACCCGGACATGAAACTCTAGTGGATGCAAAACTCCTTCAGACAGCTCCTGCCCCGGGCACTGGTGCTTTCCCAGACACTGGTGCCACTTGCCAGGACCCGGTGTGCTCGGTGGTGGCACCGCTCACCTCCCCATCTGCGCCCTTTGGCTCTGCATGCCAGAGTTTGGATCCCAATACGGCGAAGCAGCACAGTTCCTTCTGTCCAGCCTGGCACAGGGCTTTTCCCCGAGTCCTTGGCGTTGAGCAGAGCACGTCTGCACTGCCTTACAGGGAGGCACCAGCTCCAGCCCTGGCTGTGCTCTGCCGGCAGTGGCAGCAAGGACAGGGCTTTCCCCCACGCAAAGCACGGAACGTCCTGACCCAACACCCAAAGGACAGAATCCAGACCACACCACCCTGACGCACAGAGGCGTGTTCACCAGGGGCTAAATCCTTCCTAACCAACAGCAAAACTCCCCCCGACCTCAACAGGAAAAATACCACGGAGAAGAGGAGACACAGAATGGGTTGGGTTGGAAGGGACCTCAAAGATCATCTAGTTGCAACCCACCTGGGCAGGGACACCTCCCACCAGCCCAGGTTGCTCCAAGCCCCGTCCAACCTGGCCTTGAACACCTCCAGGGATGGAATCATATCCAGCAAAACACACATCTTGAGGGGTTTTGTTTCCCAGGAAAAGGTGAGGTGCAGAAGAACTGCTGAGCCCATCAGCCTAATCCTCAATGGGATGCAGAAAGAAAGGCCACAAGGGAAGGAGAATGCACCAAGTATAGGCTCGGCCCCTTAAATAAATTCTTAGTGCTTTCCCTATCCTATTTTTAAAATGTTGCACTATTTCCACTCTCCTCCCAAAATAATGCTGTCTCCTACATATACACGTGTGTGCACCAAACGGCTGGGGCCATCACTTTGCAAACCCAAAATTAGCTTCATTTTGCAATAAGAAATTCTAGTCCGTCCGTCCGTCCCCCCCCCCCTCAAACAAAATTTTCCACATAT